CACATGGTCATATGCCATGAGCAAACGCAATCACACATGATTAACATGTGCCTCACTGGCTTCACTGGAAGCAATACTGAAAAGGAATTTAAAGAAATGGAGCTGTGGCTTAAGGACAAACTGGGCAAAGCTTGACTTTCGTTTCAGACTTTTAGTTCACACCTCTCATCTATCTATATATATACATATAGATATATCTGTTTTTAGTATTTACTTATTTGAAAGGTAGAGTGACAGAGAGAGGGACAGACAAATGGCCCAACAACTCAGCCTGGGCCAGGCTGAAGTCAGGAGCCTGGAACTCCATCCTCCCAGCAGAGGAAAGGCAACCACAGGAGTATCTATTTGGTCCAGGGTTTTTCAGACTCCCTTTAGTGCAAACAAGATACTACTTAGACCCAGCTGTAGAAGTCCCAGGGAAGCACAGGGCTGCTTCTGTGTCTGTGCACAGCTGCATGCCAGCTGTGGGGCGGGTCCCCATCTCCTTGGTGAACCCTCTTCCTAGCCTTCTGCCCATCGTGGGCAACACCATGCAGGCCAAGGGAACTGGGGCTGGGAGACAGGGTGGCCAAATGACTCCTAAGACAAACCAGGACCAGCATTTGAGTGGTCTCTGTGTGCGTGGTCGGGTGGTAACCACACAGTGACAGTGGCTTAAACTGCCACTTGCTGAGTGTCATTTGCTGCCTCCTGGTCCCCTCTGCTCTGAGTCACTGTTTGCAGCTTTACCAGCTATACCATGGCGCTGGCCCCAGGTCTGCCCCCTTTTAATCTGGGATGCCAATGAATTCCCAGCCCCCAATCTATCCAGGTGTTCTATATTGAACACTGGTGAGCCAAACACTTGGTGCGACACAAGCTGATGTCTCTGTTGCCTCTGCTACCATGGTTGCTGATCACTCTTCCCCCCAGGAACCCACATGCAGCCAGCAGTTACCCGGCATGCACAGTGCACTCTGGGACAGGGATCGCCACCTCGGCAGACAGCAGGCAGACGCGTGCCCATGGGAGCTGGACAAGATGACTGTAAGATACCTTCACATTCTGAGAGTCCAGGATTGCAGGAAGCAGCAGACTGCACCAGGAAAACCCAAGTGGGGGGGGGGCCCTCTCCACCACACAGCCCAAGAGCCAGCCTGAATTCCAAGTTCAAACTTCAGTTATGTTGCTGGGCTGAACCAGCTACTTTAAAATTGTGGAAGGACCATGGTCCCCAGTCAGTGGACTAGGAATGAGTAGATTTTGTACATTATCCTGTATATTATGATTGTGATTATGAATGATAAATTATAACTCAAAAAGGAAAGACTGCAAAGGAAGGCCCTTGTGGGATCCAAAAAGCAATTCATTTTAGTCCTACCTTGCAGGGGACGTGATCATATATTTTCAGAGTTACATAGGTAAATCCCCGAAGTGCTTTCTGGAAATATAAATAACACTAATATTACCCTGCTCTTGTTTACCACCTTGTATTTTTCACAGTGCTCTCTTAGGCATTAACTCACTGGGTCATGACAATTTCTCCCCAGCAATCTAGAAAATGTCCTATGAGGTGGCAAGGCTAAGTGACAGAGGTAAAGGGAGCCCTCAGAGGTGACACCAGCTGCCCTCAGGGGCAGAGACCTTCCAATGCAGTGGTTCCCAGCTCAGTCTGTCTCCCATCACCTGCAAGGGAACCCATGGTACTCGGAGGCTCACTCTCTCTATCTGGTTCCTGCTACACCTGTCGTGCCCATCGTGTCCATCACTTCCCCCTCTCCCTCTCTCCCCTCCTGGTATTGCGCTGTGGTACCCGTTTAGTTAAATCACAGGAAGAAGACCAGCTACAACTCACTGTCTGATTGGTTTCTCTTTACCGGTGGGTTTCCTTCTGCCTTGAGGGCCTGGACTGTTCTTCCCCACCCTCCTAGCCCCAGGGATCTCTTTGGCTTCCCGAGGTCAGTGGTTTGCTCCCCTTTCCCCTTGGGGCCAGGCTGTCCCACCTCCTGGGAGGTTTCTTTCATATCAACTACCATTTATTTGCTTTATGTTCCCTACCTCCCACCACTGGACTGCACTCTGTGGGAGCAGGGACCACGCCTGTTTTATTTCTGTGCTTAGCCAAGTAGCAGGCACGGAGCAAGTGCACGAAGATAAATAAATGTTGACGTGAACCGAGATGGACGTCACAAAAGAACTTGGAAGGTGGCTGTAAAATCAATCCCAACACAGGCTGAGTGCCTTAAAAACAAGATAGAAATCACCACCCTACACATTCCCCAATTGAGCTATGCACAAGTAACTCATCTTTAATGGAAAATGCCATCTTTCCAAGCTCCACACATTTGGTGGATGATTTCTCTTCCATTTCTACTCTATTTTAAGGACAAATGAGGAACCCGCCTCCTGTCTTTGGCAACAGGCTAGGAAAATAAAATTAGAGACCTCTTGAAAAGTTTGAGGTAAACTGGAAAAGGACTCTGACATGGGTAACTGTGTGTAGGCGAACATTTTCACATCACTTAAATTTTACCTCTGCGTTTAACAGAGCTTAAATATGTTTTTATGCTCAAAACATTAGTATGTTTTAAAGCTCTATATCCTAAATAGTGAGGATAAATTAAAACATGTAGGCTAGAAATCTCTTTTGGACAAAAAATTGCATGTACTCTGATCTCTTCAATTATTGCCAATCAAAAGTTGAGTGCTTGAAGTTTGGGGTAATTATCCACTGCTATTTTTTCTTTCTTTAGACTCACACAAAAAACTGGATACTTAAAACCTACTGAAACCCATGATGTTTTTTAAAGATTTTATTTATTTTATTTGAGAGTTAGAGTTACAGACAGTGAGAGGGAGAGTCAGACAGACAGGTCTTCCTTCCGTTGGTTCACTCCCCAGCTGCGCTGATCCAAAGCCAGAAACCAGGAGCCAGGGGCTTCTTCCTGTCTCTCACATGGGTACAGGGGCCCAAGGACTTGGGCCATCCTCTACTACTTTTCCAGGCCATAGCAGGGAGCTGGACTGGAAGTGGAGCAGCCAGGACTCGAACTGGCACCCGTATGGGACGCCAGCGCTGCAGGCAGAGGATTAACCTACCACACCCCGGCGCTGGCCCTGGCCATTATGTTCTAAACTTCAAAAGTTCATGCCACAAAGGATAGATTCCAAGTTTCTTTTTTCAAACTCTGTAAGTATTCTGCAATTTTAGGCATGATCAGTATATAGTACATTAATAAGATGATGACACTTATGGACTAAATTTAACATCAATTATAGAAGAAAATTACATGATCAACATCAGGATTAGTAACAATAAACCAAAGGTTTTAAAAATATGAATAAAAATAGTTGTAAAAACTCTAGCATTTCTGGGGGCTGGAGTTGTGGCATAGTAAGGTAAGCCTCTACCCATGGCACTGGCGTCCCATATAGGCGCTGGTTCGAGTCCCTGCTTCTCCACTTCCCATCCAACTCCCTGCTGATGGCCTGGGAGAGCAGCAGAAGATGGCCCATGTGCTTGGATCCCCGCACCCATGTGAGAGATCCAAAGAAGCTCCTGGCTCCTGGCTTCAGATTGGCCCAGCTCCAGCCACTGTGGCCATTTGGGGAGTGAACCAGCAGATGGAAGACTTATCTCTCTCTCTCTCCCTTTCTCTGTATCTCTATACCTCTCAAATAAATAAATAAATAGGCTAATCCTCCACCTTGCGGCGCCGGCACACCGGGTTCTAGTCCCGGTCGGGGCGCCGGATTCTGTCCCGGTTGCCCCTCTTCCAGGCCAGCTCTCTGCTATGGCCAGGGAGTGCAGTGGAGGATGGCCCAGGTGCTTGGGCCCTGCACCCCATGGGAGACCAGGAAAAGCACCTGGCTCCTGGCTCCTGCCATCGGATCAGCGCGGTGCGCCGGCTGCAGCGGCGGCCATTGGAGGGTGAACCAACGGCAAAAGGAAGACCTTTCTCTCTGTCTCTCTCTCACTGTCCACTCTGCCTGTCAGCCTGTCAAAAGAAAAAAAAAAAAAATCTTTAAAAAAAACCTTTAGTATTTCAACATTTGCATTTGAAAAGCATTTCATGTTTTTAAATAGTTTTAAGAAGATATGCTATTATGAAACAAATATTCTGTCCACAGCACAATTTATTACTACAAAATAAATGAATGTTTAAAAGACAGTCTGCCAATTGAAAAAAAAAAACCATTAAGATAGCTGGTTTCCAAGCCAAGTTAAACAAGATATTTTCTCCATGATAAGTTGCTTTCACTTAAATGAAAACAGGGCAAATTTGGTCAATAATATGGATTGCATATAATAAAAAGGACCTTAGATCATGTTAATACAAGGATCAAAAAGCAGTGAGCTCAATTAAAACCACCCAATTATTTAGCCAACTTTCAGAAACAGCAAATAAATGAATCTGTTTTAAATGAAACTGCTCCGATAAGTAGCTTTCTGACCTAGGAGTAGCTCTCACGAGCAGCAATCCCAGGGAAGGCAAGGCAGAGCCCCCAGATCACACAGATGCAATCAGTCACAACAGGAACCCCGGGCCATGGACACTGGCTTAGTCAGCAGCAAGGGGTACTGAGGCAGCCGCCCCCAGCTCCTCTCATACTTCGGTACATCGTATATACACCTGTGTGTGTGTGTGTGTGTGTGTGTGCACGCATGTGAGCACGTTTCTTTCTTTAAAAAAAAATTTTGTTTTATTTGTTTGAAAGAGTTACAGAGAGAGGTAGAGACAGAGAGAAAGAAAGGTCTCCCAGCCGCTGGTTCACTCCCTAAATGGCTGCAATGGCTGGAGCTGAGCCAATCTGAAGCCAAGATCCAGGAATTCCTTCCCTGTCTCCCATGTGGGTGCAGGGGCCCAAGAACTTGGGCCATCCTCTGCTGCTCTCCCAGGCGCAATAGCAGGGAGCCGGATCAGAAGTGGAGCTGTCAGGACTTGAACTGGCACCCAAATGGGATGCTGGCATTTCAAGCCAGGGCTTTAACCCGCTGAGCCACAGTGCTGGCCCCCACATGTTCTTTTACTCTCAATCAGTTGATGTATCTTGGTGGTTTTTTGTTTGTTTGTTTGTTTGTTTTTTGACAGGCAGAGTGGACAGTGAGAGAGAGAGACAGAGAGAAAGGTCTTCCTTTGCCATTGGTTCACCCTCCAATGGCCGCCTCGGCCGGCGTGCTGTGGCCGGCGCACCGCGCTGATCCGATGGTAGGAGCCAGGTACTTATCCTGGTCTCCGATGGGGTGCAGGGCCCAAGGACTTGGGCCATCCTCCACTGCACTCCCAGGCCACAGCAGAGAGCTGGCCTGGAAGAGGGGCAACCGGGACAGAATCTGGCGCCCCGACCGGGACTAGAACCCGGTGTGCTGGCGCCGCAAGGTGGAGGATTAGCCTAGTGAGCTGCGGCGCCGGCGTATCTTGGTTTTGACAACAGGATATTTTCATTTCTGTTCTACATCAAGAAAAGGCCAAAAATATGCTGTTAAGAGGCCACATATGGGGCTGGCACTGTGGTGTAGTGGGTAAAGCCACTGCCTGTGATGCCAGCATCCCATACGGGCACCATTTTGAGTCCCAGCTGCTCCACTTCTAATCCAACTCCCTGCTAATGTGCCTGGGAAAGCATCAGAGGATGGCACAAGTGTTTGGGCCCCTGCACCCATGTGGAAGACCTCGAAGAGGCACCTGGCTTCAGACTGGCCCACCACTGGCCGTTGTAGCCATTTAAGGAGTGAACCAGCTGATGGAAGATCTCCCTCTCTCTGTCTCTCCCTCCCTCTCTGTCACTCTGCCTTTCAAATAAATAAATAAATCTTAAAAAAAAAGAGGCCACATATTACACCACTAAGAATGCACGTCTTGGGGTGCATGTTCAACCTACCAGTGAAGACCCTGGTTAGGATGCCCGAGTCTCACACTGGAGCTCGTGGGTTTGAGTCCCTGCTGACTCCTGGCTCCAGCTTCCTGCTAAAGTGCACCCTGGGGAGGGGCAGCAGGTGAGGGTTCAGGTAGCTGGGTCCCTTTCACCCAGGTAGGAGACCTGGATTGAACTCCCAGCTTTGGCCGGGCCCAGCCCTGGCTACTGTGAGCATTTGGAAATTGAAGCAGTAAATGGGATCTCACTGTCTATCTATTTCTCTACTTCTCAAACAAATAAATAAAAATTTTTTTTAACAACATGAAAAGCAACCACAATACATTAAAAACCCTTTGCTATCTGCTTATGTTGAACTTGTGCTGGGCTTTTACAAATGCCTCTTTTAGACAAGTAATATGTCATCATTTTGTTTAGCTAACAGCCCTGGCCACCCTGTCTCCTTGAGTTAAGAACAGTAGATCTCTATTTCGTACATTGGCAGTCAAAGCTGGCAGAATAAAGGAGAATTAGCCAATTGGGAGCAAAGGTTTCTAATGCCCAAGATTCAGACTTTCCTTTTACTTTAATCTTAATTATCCTATTTGGCCAGATGATGGTTCATTTTCTTTTTCAATAGAAGTGATCTTCTCTATATATTGCCATAATTTATTTGAATGGCATTCTTATGTATTTTTTTTAACAAATAACGACACTACTCACTATTTCTCTTATCTTTTTGATCCTTTTTACTACTTATCATCTTCTTTATTTGAAACAGATTTTTAACAGATAATCTTGATCATTACAACAATATCTGGCTTGCATTTTATTCAAATAATTCTTAAAAACAGCTTAAAAAGCCGTTTGGAATAACATCAAGCTTGCCATCAATCAAACGAAAAAATTCCGCTGGCGGTTGTATAAACATCAGATCAAGTCTGATGTCTTCGAGGATTTCAGAGTGAACCATAAAAAACTCCATTAACTTCTGACAAAGAATGCAAATTAATCACAACATGGGGTGAAATGAAATTAAAGGCTCTTTTCTAATCAATGACAAGGCAGGATGAAATATTTGTTACTCTCTCTGCACTCGGGCTGCCTGGGATGTTTGCAGTTCCCTTGCAAAGCCCCAAATGTAAGGTGTGAGTACAGATTCACCCGCGGTCGCTGTGGAGCCCCCCCCACCCCGCCCCCAGAGCTATCTGCTTACAAGTCATGGAGATTCACAAAACACACTAATCATCCGAATCTCAGGTGCATCCAATTTGTTATTCACACTCTCCCATGCCAGTGAAAAGCCTGGCGCAGACAGATGCACCAGGAACCCTAAATGACAGTTTTGGCCTCCGGAAGCACGATCACTACAGCAAAATCTAGTACAGCCTCCAGGTGAAATGTCTGGAGCTCCATATGGAGCAGGGAAAATTAACAACAAGATGAAAATCACTGCAGCAGCGGGGAGCCGGAATTTTTGAAAAAAAAAATGAAATTTAAAGATGAAGAAAGAGAAGTAATAAATTAATGGGGTGTGAAAACATTCAAAGCTTTACAATACCGGGGGCACTATTTGCTCAGATTTCCTCCTCCCCCCTTTATTTTAACTTCAGGTCATTTTGATGTAATTTATTAACCAAGATCAGGAATTGTAGCCAAAAGAAGAACGATATTTTTACACATGCACCAGTCCTTTAAGTACATCTGTGTCTGCATTAGCTTCACTTTCCTGTGGCATCTCTGCTTCCCCGACGTCCCGGTGCCAGAGCTGACGCACCCCGAGGAGCAGCCCCAGCGCATTTCCTCTCAGCCTAGTGCCGGGCGCTGCTGTAGAGTCTGAATGAAAGACGATGATTTTTTAGCAGGCAATCCTTTTCGTTTCTCCTTAACTACGGTGTCGTTAAACAAACCACTGCTCACTTTTGACGTCAACTGGATTTGGATATACACGACTAACCACACACAGCTGCAGTGCCTGTCCAGACTACCGTGTAAGCTAAATTGTTCAAAACACTGGTTCGCAGAAGAATGTTTAAAAAAAAAAAAAAAGCATTTTTTCATTATCCTACTGCAGACTGTGCTTCACGGGCACCCAGGGGCTCCGGGACCCTCTGGATCCCACTAAACGCATGGCAGGAGAAGCAAAAGAGCTCTAGGGAATGGCCCTGTGGGCACCTCCAACGGCTCAGCCCCGGAGGCCTCCCCAGGGCAGACAAGGCACACCAGGGGAAGGGCTGAGTGGGCAGGAGAGCAGCGGTGGGGCTGGCCAACCACAGTCCTTTGCTGGAACTGCCTGCAGGCCCTGGCCCTAACTGTCCCCATTTTGTGGCCTCTCTGAGCCTGGAGCAGCCTGGAGACTGGCCGGATGTCTGCACATGGGATGTGCAGGTAACACAAAGTGTTCTGGATTGCCGTGCAGTATAGGCGCTGGCTGGGGCACGCTGCGGTCACATGGCTACGCATCTCTAACAGCCCTACGTGGCTCACCACTGAGGCTAGGCAACCTCCAGGCCCCCCTGCACGCTAAAACAGACCAACACCTGACCACACAACTGCACACACTGCAAGTCTCTCAACAAAAGCCCAGGTCTTTAACCTTCACAGTGTGGTCCCAGGCCACTGGCTCTCCTCACATCTTCCCCATACCCCTCCCTCATCTGAGCCATCACGGGATACACACGGTGTCACCAGCAGGAAGAGGGGCTGCTAAAGACCCTGTCAGCGGTGCCGATGCTGGGCTAGGGGGAGGGACTGTCTGCAAACCGCCCCTCCCCCCAGCGCTCCCTTCCAGTGGTGGCTGCAGGTGGCTGAGGACACACTTCTGCAATCTTGGGTTTGTGGCTGGAAATCCTGTTTGGCGCTGGAGCCCAACATGCAGGCCGGTGGGGTGGCCCTCTGTCCTTCTCTAAGCGGTCTCAAAGCCACGACCTCATGTGAGCAGCACGTGTCTGCGGATCAGATGGAGGAAGCGCCACTTCAGAGAGCAAACGGAAGCTTCAGGGAGTTAGAAAGCAAGAGCTAAGGCAGAGCTGGGCTCCTGTTTCCCTCCGCTGGCTCCTGGTCTGCAGGCTCTCTCCCGGGCCACACTCCTCAACTCGTTGACTTCCCACGGGGCTTGGAGCAGCAATTCTTTGGCACTGTCCCCTGCCCTGGGCACACAGGGGTTCAAAACCACATGGTCCAAAGGACAGAGGAAAGGCTTCCGTGCGCTCCAGGGAGAGCAGTGGGTGCTAACTAGAACGAGGCGGTCATCAGCTTGGTGAACCGAACACTGCTTCGGCCCCACGGCTGTGTCGTAAGGTAGCAAGATTCTTGCCACTGGAGGTAGTCAAGCAGAGTATGAACGCCGGCTTTTTCAGAGACGCAGTAGAGATGTTTGATTTGATGACGTCGGAGACGCCTTCCAATCCTTAGAGCCTGCGGCTCACTCCTGCCCACTCCGCCTGGGATTCAAGCGAACCACGCCAGTCACCACGTCTGTGCAGCAGTCCAGGCGCACCAGCATGGACGCCTCACACTGGAACGGAAGCTATCTCGCGGAGAGACCAAGAGTTCCCATGAGATTAACACGGGCCAAAGGGCAGGTGTAGCTTCACAATCCAGTCTCCGTGATACCATAGGGATACCCGTTCTCCTTCCTGTGCTTCTTCTGCCAGGTCTGGTGGCCAGGAGGGGCAGGAGAGGCACTTATTTAGCTGGAAAAGAAGCGCCAACAGCACCCACAGTCACCCAGGACTCCACATCAGAGCCCAAACTCCTGCTGAAAGACCTGGGCGACAGCAGGCCTGATGATACCACAGCGGCTCCTGTTTCCTGACAACAGTCCTGACTGGGTGACAATGTCTGATCACGGCTCCAGGAATACAGTTGGCTCCCCGCACTCTGGCATAAAGGGTATTGCTAACCGGGGGGTTCGGCATATTAGAATTTTCCAACTTGCACTGGGCTGATCAAGTAAACAAACAGTAAGCACAGACATTCCAGAAAAAACACTGCAAAGGGAGAGAGCCTCTCCCCAAACTTGCACAGTCTGCAAGGGCTCCTTCACTCGGCAATCCGTTTCTTCGACTCATCCCTTGCCAAATCTTATTAATTATTCTTGACGTTGGGAAGCTCAAGAATATAGCTACATCCTTAATCTTGTATTAGATGGCTTACCAGTTTTCTACCAAGGCTGTCTGAGAGACACATCGTATTGGGCCTCTTCTGTTCATTTTCAAAATTTCAGAAGACTGCCTAAATTGTCTACACAGTGAATTGTTTAAAAATTACTGGCAGAATAAGAGGCTTACCAAGATAAATATTCTAATGAGCTATAAATCCTGAAAATGTGATTTTAATTTGATGGGCTACCTAGAGCTAACAGCAAGGCTGGGTGTGCTAGCGTCTCGCTCAACGCCAGCGTGCACGCCAGGCGATTCCATGTCAGATTTTCTCTTTAAGGAAAAGAGTATGTTTAAACAAAGAAGCCCACACGTTTGCAAGCAGAAACAAACACTGTCGGACCTCAGAACTTGGGTGATCTCTCTACCACTTATCTGACAGTTGTAACCAAGAAAGGCAAAGGATACAAGAGAGACATTTCAGCCAGTGAAGGGTCTTTAAATGCCCGCATGGGTATCAGAAGAATTTGCTTAAAAATCGCTTCTAAAGATGGCAGAGAGAATGAGCTCCATCCTATTATTCAATAACCATGTTTGTGATGCATCTGCATGATCTAACCATGCATAAATTAGTGTGTGTAATACAACACTTATTTGCATAATAATAGCAAGTTAATAGATGCTTAAAGAGCAGAGACCAACACCACCTTTAAATCAGACATGCCTCCAGGCACTTTGGCCTGTACAGCCCAAGATGCCAGAAAAACAGCGAGCAGCAACCAGAGGGAAACAGTCAAAACATTCATTCTTCACCCTCTAGACGCTCTACTCATCGCCCCCCCCCCAATGCCGGGGACTCATTTTCAAACCGCAAAACGGCTTTAGATTTTAAGTGCTAGCACCCTTCTATACCAAACATCTTAAATGATCGAGATCAGGATCAGCATGCTAGTGTAATGGACTGTTTGTTTTCTTAGCAATGTGCATGAGGAGAAGGAAAATCCTAAAAAAAAAATTTCAAAATCACACTTACATAAAACCGGGGGCTTGTCTATTTGCTTAGCAAAAATAATGACCCAGGTTAGATATTTTCCCCCTTCGTCTCAATGCTTATTCCACGTAAGTTTAATTGAATCCAAAAGCTCAAAAAAGTCTATCAAGAAAGCGGCTGGGCCTTTCCTCCGACCTCAATATGAGCTCACAGAACCAGGCGGAAAAGGCAGAGCACCGGGCGGGGCGGCGTCTTACACAAAGGGAGAGCAAGAGGATGGCTTGCAACCTTTAACAAAGGGGCGGGGGGAAACCCTGGAGTTTAAAAAAAAATCAAAAATCAATAGAGACTTGTGGATGACTCCTTTAAGACATCCCTTTTCAATTTAGCGGGATAGATTTATTTGTATGTGGCTCCAATGTTCACAATTGCTGGCTGCACCTTCATACATAGGAATGAATGTCACAGTGGCAAACGGCAGTAATGAACAATCTTACCTGAGGATATGGAAACCTCCCAAGAGCAAGCTGGGAAAGGAAATAATATTTGTCTAGTTATAGATTTGCATGCAGGGCAGAGCTCCTTAAGACAGACAAGCACCAAGTTTCAGAATTGCGTCTAGCAAATATAAAAAAGCTCTCAACTTCGCATGCATGAACTAAATTATTGCTGTAATTACATGAAAAGCTGTATTTAGAATGGACATTTTCAATGGACAACGTTGCATCCCTGATGGAATATTCTGGGTTTAATCACTCAGTGCGATTCTTGTGCAGTTTCTCTTAGGAACATGCTCAGTGTTCTGGGTGTTATTCACATGTACATGTGGTACACGACACTCTCCCCTAGACAGACCTGCAAAACCGTTGGCTTCTCCCCCCACGAAGCAGAAGCGTCTAAACGTTCCCAGCCCACAGACTTGCAGAGTTTTCAGTTACAACTGTAAGTGAAAGGTGGGAGGAAGTAGGGGAATGAATGGGCTCTATCACAAAACTGAAAACTCTGCCATCAGTCTCATTCACTTGTTAAATTTTTTTTTTTTTCATTTATTTTCTATCCATTGTCTCCTACCAAGAATTGAGCCTTCCCCAATCTGAGACTGGGAAATGGCCATCTTAGCACTGTCAGAACTGTAGGTCTCAGTCTGAAATTGGGAAAGGCGAATCCCGGGAGCTTCCGGTTGGGGCTGATTTGTAAACTGCTCTGTGTTTCTGTGCTGGCCACTTAACTTTGGTTTTAGATCCTCACCTGTGAAAGCAAAATGATTCAACCAGGAATAGACTTGATATTGTAAGATCAAATTTAACAAACACACTCTAACTTATGTGAAGAAAACAGTGGCAAAGTTGTGCACGTTTCTACACTTGATCTTAGCCAAAAGGCCGAGAAGCGATAGTTGTGCACGTTTCTAATGTGAGCCATCCCTCATCCAGAAACCCTTTCCAGGTGCTTCTAACTACTTTCCAAGGTGGCTGGCAGCACTGCCCAGGGCAGGTGGGGGTGGAGGTGGGGCCTCCTGCTGGAGTGCAGCTGAGAGCCCAGAGTCCCATGGGAGGCACTGGGAAGTCCTGCACGGCGCTCAGCGGAGCCCAGGGGCTGAGCCCGACACTGGACGCTTCTCCAGCTGGTTGCGTCGTCTTTCCAACCTTCATAATGGGACATGGATGCTGCTCAAATATTTCTGCACTCCTTGTTTGGAACTGTGTTCAAAATCATTGTGAGTGAGAGAAGAACATCTACCTCGTGTTATTCAAGTTCACCTTATCTTGGATTTAAAATTTCACCTCTTAAGGACCTATGTCTATTACTCAAACACAAAGTCATCTACAAAGAGTATTTTGTTACTTAGTAAGGACAGACATGAAGGTGCTGAGGTTTGCAAAGTTGGAAAACCAGTTTGAGCGACAGCAGTATAACAGGAATAAACCACAAGAGCTTGTAAGGTGACTACTTTGATAGGGCCAGCGGCCATACACTAGGGTATACCCGGGAGTGTGGGTTTCTGAATACCCAGCAGGCTTCATTACCTTGTACTCATACCTTCTGTACAAATATTCATTGTTACCGATACAGATTTTCAAGATACAAAGTTACATTATCATTGTTTCTGCTTCCTCGGTACTACTGCTTCCTTCAAGTAGGAATAACAAAACATCCTGAGATGCAGTGATGTTCACCAAACTCCCTTACAGAATTTTGTGTTGGTCGTCTCTGTACTGTACTCCGTCAGGAAGGGGAGGGACTCGCCTCTCCCACCCACTATCCCCACCCTGCCCCCACAGAACATAGGCTGTAGATCTGCCCTGGGTTTTAGAAATACTGTGTGCTTCTGGCCAATGAGAGTGTGCACGTTGACTGTCCTCGCTGGTCCCAGGGCGTGGGATGGGGTGGGGGGCTCAGGACTGGTGCCATCAGGTGAGAACTGCTAGGCGAGAGCTGTCTACTTCTGCCCGCACTGAGAAAACCAGCAAGGGGAGGGGCCTCTCCCCTAGGAAGGCAAACTGGTTACTAACTTCTAAAAGACACTTTGGACGTTCTGTCTCAAGCCCTGCACCATTCCTTCGGGTACATGTTAAACATGTCATTAGGGACCGTGGAAGAAGTCTGTCTTCTGTAGGAGGAAGACATTTCCCCACCACACATACAGTAAAGATCTAAACTAGCTGGCAGGGGCCGATGCCGCCCACTGATTCTTCAGTTTAGAGAATTAAGCAATGCTAAATGGAAGCTTAAAAAAAAAAGAGGCACAGGGCTAAAACATGATTTCTTCCCATTTCAGCACGAAGCCTCAGTGCTCAAGTACTCACCCTGGAGAGGCCAGGGTCCCAGCAACTTGGGAACATGCTCTAGTCTACCATGCCCCTGGGTTAGGACGGGAACAAAGTCAACAAGGCTGGCACTGCCATTCATTCGATCTGCAAGAAACCACCTCGCAGGAGGAGAGAGGAACCGCAGGGCAGGCTGGCCAGTGGGGAGCCTCTCTGTCAAAGTCTGCATGGGAACAGGTGGTGGCGCTTGAAGGGCTCAGCCCTCTCTCTTGGGTCTGGCTTTGCTTGCTTTGTACGTTCCTCACACTTTGCAGCAGCCCAGTCCTCTGTCAGCTGTGCTTACAAAGGGACGGCTTCTAAGACGTCTCAAGAGAGGGACCAAGGCTCCTTGACCTTGACCACAATGCGCTGTTGCAGCAGCGGCAGGACAACGGTTCCTCTCCTACCCATCATCATCCTGTGCTGCTCCCGCAGTGGGCTGAGGATTCCCGCTCTCTGCCAGCAAGACCGGGCGGCAGCCCTATTAGGCTGGTGCAGCAAGCAGTTACCTTAAGGCCCTGGGATGGGACCTGTCTGTCCTTCCAGGGCTAATGCACCTGCAGTGTCTGCATCCTACACTTGAGGCGAAGTAGCAGGCAAACCGCGAGGCTTCACTTCGAACTCTTTTTATCAAGTTCTGTTACGAAGCGGTAAACAAGGCAAAAGGGCTCCTGGAGCAGAAATGGCTGCGTGCAGAACAAGTTCTTCATGAGGCTGTCAAAAGTCAAAACAAACACGGAGCCCTTCTGGGGACGAGGGAGCCCATATGCTCTGAGTGAGTGTTTCAGAGACAGACGGACCTGGGGCCATTCTGTATCCTTTACCCCTGCTGGTCTATTAATCTACTTGCATTTCCCCAGTTTTTATTGTCAAGGTATTATAAATTAGGAAACTTACAAAAGAGAGTATGTAATCTTCTCTGAAATGGCCTGCAGATATGTCACTGTACTAAATGTGCTTCAGATTTAATGAAGCTTTAATGTCCTTTTTAATTTTGCCTGTTTCTGTATCACCAGGGGTCGGGCAAGGCAATCAGCACTCAAGAGGGTGGTTTGGTTTAAAACTAGGAAAAAACTCATTTGCTTATGAGTTGCACTGTATTTTCTTAATTAAATTTACTGAGTAAAATGGTTTAAGTTCAGCCAACCAATGACCTTTGTATGTAGATTTAGATTTATAAATAGGTTAACAGTTAAAGTAAAGGGTGGGGGGAGGAATTGCAACAAAGCAAACAGATTAGAGCTAAGCCAATAGAAATCTTTGCTCTCTTTATCATCTTCACCAAAGCAGCATTTAAATACTGTATGGCAGCTTTAAGTCCGGTTTTGTAAAAGTGCACTGAAAAATGTGGACCCATGTAAGCGCCAGCTATTCATCACGGAGCTCTCACTCCCTTTCCGTTCCCAGGAGGGGAGCGGCTCACACTGCCAAAGATGGGAGAAGCTTTATTTGTGGGTTTGTGTGTGGTGGGGGGGAGGCAGTGGAGGGAGAGACAGGATTCTGCTCACTGTTAAGTAAGGTTCCCCTGTAAAACCAGTACTGTCCCTCAGCATCCCGACTGCTCTTTGCACACTGTGATGCGCCGGAGTCGGCAGCATTTGCGTATTTTGGGTTTTACCATCTAAACGACACGTATATTTGCTGTGCAAAAAATCATCAACAATCGCCAAATCCCTAACAACTGCATGACAGAGAGCTTCGTATTTTAATAAAAGTTTTCCTTCACTGACAAAAGCACAGAATGGCTTTTGTTGGTAATAATGAGGCTGCCGTGAAGTCGTCCCAGTCAGGGAACGCATACGATGTGGCACGAAGGTCCTCACAGGACACAGACCCACAACATGTTTCAGTGATCCAGTTCCCTAGTCAGGGCACCGCTAATGCTGTGGGAGCACTTTTACATTCACGGCCACGCTGAAGAGTCCTGGGTTTTTTCCTTTAATTCTTAATTTAGACATATTCTGTGTTTCTCACATAACTGTGGGTTGAAAATACGCACTTTCAACACAGCCAGCGATTTAGCTGAAGGAGGACTTTACAGGCTGAAATGCACTAAGAGTTGTTCTTAATTACCTTGTGCACATTTTACACAATTAAATTTCCATCTAGGGATTTCTGCATTCAGATTGTGCACGGTAAAACCTTGGCTTTTTACAGAAATGCGGCAGGCAGTCTGGAACACTCAAGACACAGGGAAACTTTCAAAAGAATCAGACTTAACTACTGGATTACATAAAATTCCCTTGGTGAGATTTCATCCCAAGTCCAATTTACCCAGTCCTTGCGAAAGAGTTTAAATCATCTGAAACTATGCTGGCCAAGAGCCATAATAAATATTAAATACCTCAAAAGCTACCCCAAGATTTTACTTTGCTTCTCATGTATCAATTTCACTGTCCCCTTACTGAATGGTTTAAAAACAATCCCAAGGATATAACAGCAATTTACCAGTGTTAAAGTGCTTTGGAGGTTAAACTGACAACAAAGAAGACAGAAACACAAAGCGTCTTGAAGTAGGGTTTCAATTAAATGTGGAGGATTTAGTAATGCAGGACCAGGAAAAAAAAAAAAAAAAAGAAGAGTTACAAATTAATTTAATCTTCTGCCTATAGTTTGCAGCTGCACTCCAAAGCGTCTTGGGCTTAGGAACAAAGCCTCACAAGGCCTCGCAGTGAGGAAAGCTTCAATTTTTAATGTATAATGCCATTAGCTGATAACTT